CCAGATAAGGCAGACACACAAGCTCCATATCCCGCCAATGGTGCCGATGCCTGGCGGCTTGTTCCACAGAGTGCATATTGACACTATGAAAATGCCCTGGGTGGGCGGTTTTGAGTATCTCGTCCAAGCGTGTTGTGCGCTAACATCGTATCCAGAATGGCGCATGCTGTGCAAGGAGAATACCAGGTCACTAGCGGCCTTCATATATGAAGAGGTCCTCTGTTGATGGGGTCCGGTGATTGAGCTGATTACTGATAACGCACCCGCTTACAGACTCGCCACTGATTTGTTAGCCAAAAATATGATGTCCACCCGATATATATTTCACTGTATAATTCGCAAGCAAACGGTATAGTCGAGCAGCGCCATCAAGACGTCCGTGAAGCTATTATAAAGACATGCGATGGCGATGACCTACAATGGCATCAAGTTGTTCATTCTGTTTTCTGGGCCGAGCGCGTCACCATTCACAAGTCTACAGGTTTATCGCCCTACTTTATGGTGCACAGCATAGAGCCGATATTTCCTTTTGACCTTGCTGAAGCTACGTTTCTAGCGCCGACGCCTGCGCACAGCGTATTCACCACTGCTGACCTCATAGCATGGCGTGCATGCCAATTACAGAAGCGCATTGAAGATCTTAGCGAGATCCGAGACAAGGTAGTAAAAGCGCGTTTCACGTCAATTCGCGACTTTGAAAAGTGCTTCCGAAATAGTTAAGTAGCAAGAAAATGAGTCAAAAAATTTACCTACCTCCCACCAGACAACAATGTTATTAGTGTACTCTAGCACCAAAGACAAAAATAAAAAGAGAGAACCAACAGTATAGACAAGTACTTACCACAGCCTCCAAGTGAGCCCTGCCAGTTGCAACTTCTCAAGCATGCCACCAACCTTTAATGTACACGAGCTTATAGTTCAGATCGAGAACTTAAATTATATTAGATACACATGAGTCATAGAAAAATGACATAAACATCAGATTCACTTAATTTCTTGAAGCACTTGCCAATATTCTTTAGGCCCTGCTTAATTGCATCAGTGATTGGTGCATATTGCACATCAGCTGCCATGGATCTCCATCAATTAGTGAGGCACTCCAATGTAGGGATTGTGCACCATGCAGTCAGATGCTTTGCTGACGAGAACTATTGCTGAGCAGTTGCTGGTTCCTTAAGGACTTGATTAATAAGCGCAAGGTGTTTCCAATCACCCCGGTCAAGCTTAAAGTTGTTGTAAGACTTGTTGCAAAGAGTTGGCACTTCTTTGCTTTCATCCACAAGGGTCATGAAATGATTCACAGCCTATTTGAATATATATATCAGACCATTTTCAAACATTGAAGGAAACAACTCATGCAACATAAGAGTAACATATGATCCAGATATTTGTATAATGAAGCCCAGCAAGTTCTGACCCACTGCAACAACTCCAGTTAAGATACATTCTCCTCCTGGCAGGCCTTTTGGAAAAATGTGCAAGCTTGAGGCGACTTTCGAATCTGAACATCTTGATTATCAACAAGCATAGGCTAATAACAAAAAGACATACCTGCTCAATGAGTATGAGAGCTTTACCAAGTGAATCACCAGCATTGAATGAGGTACTGTTATCATTATCATCAACTTCCATGGAAGAAAGCTCTTGAGTCAAAGTGTCAAGTTTGGTGTCATTACCATCATCAACTGCCTGATGAATCTTTCTCATGAAGCTGCTTACAGAGTGGGTGAAAGTCCATCAATGAAGTGTCAAGTAGCAAGATTTAGAACATGTTTCTGGCACCTAATGCAACATGCATCAGATGCCCATTGGGTACCCTTGGGATTAATCTGATGTCCAACTTCTTTCATGGCAGTGTCATTGTTGGTAGCATTATCGGAGGTCATCCACTCAACCTACAACTACTAACCAGTTTCAGCATGAATATGTAGACTAAACTTTACCTTATCTCGTAGTTTGTATGTGTCAATGGCATCAACAATTAAGCGCACAGTATTCTGGCCACTATAATTGCCCTCGATGTGAACAAAACTAAGTTGCTCACGGTGTAATTCTCATTGCTGGGGTTTGTTGTCTGGACTCCAGATATAATGACCAGTAATGCTGAAGAAATGGTCACTGATGATAGAAGTCCAGGAGTCAAAAGTTATTGAGACCTAACTGTCTACCTTCGCAAGATGTTCATGAATGACATTGACTACAGTTAGTGAATGGGCTTTGATGCTCCCAGTAAGCTTAGTATGATGAGAGATATCACCTTTAACAAGGGACAATAAGCTCCATTATATACTTGAGCAACCCAGCCTTGCTAAACATGGGCATGCATCAATACATGATGTGCAAGTGTAACTCACAAATATTGAGCTTCACCAGTAGGAACAGTTAGTATTGATATCATAATCCATGTCAACACCAGTGACATGAGAGTCATTATTGTCAGATAATGGAGCTGAGAGTTGTAACACAACCTTTTTTTGTAACTAGTGGCTCCATAGTAGTACTAGATAAGGCATGTGCACATTTGTGGCTTGTTGACAAGCTGGATGCCTGGTGAGAACAAGCATTATTGGTATTACGGAGGCAGGCAGAGGGCTTAGAGGTACAAATTGAGCATTGAGCACCTGTAGTAAGTGGTGCTGGTTTGCATCCAGCCCTCAGTAACACTAAGAAGGCATTTGTGGGGGCAGACTCGGCAGAGGTTGGAGCATAAAGTGGGGGCTAAGCAGACTTGGAAGAGGATTGAGCACAAAGTGGGACAGTATCATCAGGATAATTGTAAAACTCAATATTCTTGGCATCATTAAGAGAACTGTCAGCATTGTTCTGTGTATATTGAAAAACACAGAAAAGAAAATTAACATGATTTTAAGCTGTGATTTCAAAGACAATACATGGAAAATATAGCATTATTCTTGAAGGAACATGAGCAATTTTTGCATCATGTCCCACACACAGAACATCATTGAAACATGAATTACTTTTTTTTAATGTTTTGACAGGAAAAATGAGGGGAAATTTCTATCTTCTCAATCAATGTTTTTTGGATGTTTGGTGAAAGAAAATGGGAAAATGCCTGCAGTAATTTGCATATTGGTGATCTGATCGATTGGACTGAGTCAGTTCTATTTTTATTACAAATAAGTGGAGCAGAATATTCCAGATATTCATTTGGTAGCTAGGTATCTTTCCCATGCCAAATGTATAAAAGGAGGACCTCTTCTCCACTGAATAAAAGAGATTTTCCATTTTATCTGTCTCTCACAGAGGAGAATTTCCACTTCACCTGTCTGTTACAGGAAGTGCAAGGGACCAGTATTTCCCTTAGTTAGTCTACACTAAGATTAGGTAGTCTTAGTCTTGTATTTACTCACTATTGTTAGACTCCAGCTAGTCTATCACTTGGATTTCATTATCTAGTCCTTAGGTGGTCTAGATCTGTTGTATTCTTATTATGATTATACCAGCAAGGATTTGTCTGGGAAAAGCTTAGTCAGCATTCCCATCTTTTGTTTGCAAGACCTTTCAGCCACAGCCTGAGGTCCAGCTTAGTCATAGGTTCTCACACCCTTCTGGTGTGGGTACAACAATTTTAATGGTGATTCAGAACAATATGTTGGGTTTTGCAGAACCTAGCTGCTATTCAACCCTAAAGGGTTTCTGGACCAGGCTCAAGGCTCAGAGGAGAGGAAACTGTCATAAAAACTGCTGAAGACTCAGACTCATACTAGTACTGGTGAAAATGTACTTTCTTATGTAAGCTAAGGTGCAAACATAACACTAAGTAAAACAGTCTCTACAAGCCTAGCCAGAAATCAGTTCCTACACTGGTGTGTGTGAGGAATGATAGCTAGATGAGAAGGAGTGAAAGGGGGAGAAAGGGTGAAGTGGGGTAAAACTCAAATAGACCTCTGGACACGAGTATAGATTCGGCCCAAGGGGATTGCTACTGAGAATGATTCCTCTAAGTAAAATATGGAGGGAAAACTTAGAAACTGGTAAGAGTAACTGAGAATGGAAGAGCGTGCGACATTGCGCTTGACGCGATGTGAGCGCGAGTGAGCCGCCGAAGGTGCAATACAATGTGCGACCGAGCGGCCGAAAGTTTGACGGAGCGTGAAGGTGCGGAGAAAAGCCAACGGTTGATATAAATGCACGTCTAGTGGATATGCGAAGGAGATGCGACATGACGATAAAGAGGGAGGAGGGTTCTGACGATAGATGCAATGAGCGATGTGTGAACAATAGCGCGACCGTTAATACAGTGCGCGGTGTAGTCGGCCGAAGGTCTTTAGACTTAGAGTCTAAGTGTTGTGTGCAAACAGATGATAATTTCGATAGCGGGAAAAGAAGATACATGAAAATTCCTAAGTCTAAAGTATATATGGTAGTGCGTGTAGCGCTGTTTGGAGCCGAGAAGATAACGGTAATATGTATTAAGGGTCTATAACGCAAGTAACGAAACATACGCATATCACCTTCGAAAATATGATCAGTCTAATGCGAATGAGATAAAATACGCACCAATGGACAAGTGGAGGACATGGATAGGACGGAGGAAGGACACATGACAGAACCGACGAAAAGCGGATGCGAACCGAAGCACGCACGTGAGCTGCGGCCGTCGGCTGTCGATAGGAGGGATGCGCGCCGTGGTAGTGATAGCGCACACTGCGCTAAGACCTGAGGGACACTGCAAAAATAGCCTCTACGAGGCTACAAGGACTACAAGTCCTACATCACATACAAACTTTAAATCCTGACTGTCCCCAGTCAGCCTCTATAGAGCGGAGGGACTTAACGAAATTTCGACGAGATAAGTCACATGACCATGTGCATTTTGCGCCGTATGTGGAGCACAATAGTGGACCGCAGATATGTGGAGCGCCAACCGTGGGAACTGTGGCCAATTTTGATGTATTAAAACGCATCATGTGCCACACTTCTCTTCTTTTCAACTTCTCATCGCAGACTTCACGATTATCTTTTTGCATCATACTACCATGTCTTCCATTATCTTTAATCCATCCATGCTGACTGCATCTCCTTCCCCATCTCCCTCACCCAAACCTGAGGAGCGCCCACTAGAGGGTGGCAATGTGTCCATTGACGATACCACTATTGATGATGCGGCTCCGAAGGAGCCTGAGGAGTCTGAGTCCGACCGGGTGGAACGCGCTTGGGCCGCCATGCTCAATACCATGCGCGTTTGCGTGGACACTGCTCCTCCCTCCAAGCTGGAGCTCTTGGAGGAGCAGGAATCTTGGCTCCGCGATTGGAATGTTGTGATGGTGAGTGGCGTGTCTCTTTTTTTTTTGTGTGTGCTTACTTGTTGCTAACGACTCGCTTTTTAGTCTGATATGACCGTCGTGTATGAGCGGGCACGTGTCCCTTAATGACTTGGACACGGTAACGTTGGCCGAGGGCAAAATTGCCACGAGGACGCTGACAAGAGCCATGAAGGCATGGAAGGAGAAGGTGGAAGAGTCTGCGGTGACTGCGCGCCTGGCATGCACAGACAAAGGGAAGGGTAAGGAGGTCGTTGCGACAGAGGAGAAGACAGTTGAGAAGGCAGTGGGGTCTGGTCCAACTGATATGGGGTGACCGGTGAGTCTTACTTTTTCTTTTCTGACTTTTCAGTTGTGCTGACACTGTCTTTCTAGCGTTTGACCGCGACCTCGGTCAATCGCCCCACTGAGTGTTGTGAACGCTGTGCCGCAGTCTGGCTGCCAAGTGCAGTCGTCGTTCATGCAGGCGGGCAGTTGCGAAGCGTGCATCAAAGCACGAAAAGGCTGTTCGTTTGGTGAGTCTGCATTGTCCTTTCTGTCGCTTACGCTTTTTACTGATGCGATGTTTCTTTTCTTCTAGTCGCAGCTAAGAACAAAGGACGTGCGCCGGCTGCGCCCAAGCTGCAAGGCGCCGCCCTCCATGCAAATGACTGCACCAGACGCTGGTGAGTCAGAAGTGGAGATTGTGGGTGAGGCTACGGCCTGATGAACCTGTTCCTGCTCCTTCCAAGGAGATCATTGTGCAGCACCCCAAGTGCGCACTCGACGCTGATGCTGCTCCTGCTGGCGAAGCAGCCCTCGCCTGGAGGCCGACCTGGAGTTGGAGGAGGCACGTGCTGAAGCTGTTCGGCTTCCGTGCTGAAAATGCTGAGCTCCGCGCTCAGCAATGACAAGTACCATCTGGCGCTCCTCGACATGCACCAACACATGCGCATCCAGGAGTCTGAGTTGCTCCACATGAGCAACTGGCTCTATATCTTGGCACACGACTGGGGGAATTGGGAGAAGGAGCTTGGGGAGGTTTTAAAGGATTAAGAGGGACTTTTTTTTAGAATACTTGGTAGATTAGAGTCTCTTGCCGGCGCCAAAGCACCTTGTACTGTAGTGTCTCTGTTTTTCTCCTGCGCCTGGTGCGCTCAATAGAATAGTCCTGTCGTGTTCCATTCCTTGTCCGATCCTAAGTCCCATGTCCAAATCCGCTAAGTCCATTGGGCTATAGATAGGATTAAAACGATATTAAGTAATTGAGTGCAGCGGCAAAGAAAACAATTGGAAAGGAATACGGAATGTTTGCGGGTAGCGTGCCCGACTTGTCTTCTTCATGCGACTATCGTGTCTACTCCTGCTTTGGCTGCTGATGGCGCGGCTGATTAGAGGTGAAATCTGTAAGTCTATAGTAAAATGTGCGCGGCATGGCGGCGCGCATTAGAAATGGAAAGGTCTAGGGGGTTAGTTATGCACGCGTGTCTACAGGAATGATATGTGTTATATATATACTTGATTCTTTATTATTGTTTTGCAGGTGCGATAGCAATAGAGTCTGTTGAATATGTGCGGTCAATGCGCTGTAGAGACTCATGCCTCTCATTGTGCAATATGGCAGTTTTCACTGGGGAGTACATGGCACGAACTTGTAGCATCACTCTGTGTGCTACCTGCAGCTATCTCTATATGAGGCGCAGCTTTCCCGTGCAACGCGCGCCATGTGCGCGTACCTTTCCCGCGCTTCACGATGTATATGCGCGCGCGCTTTCCCGCGCTGTAGCGCCCTATAGCGCCAGCCATCCAGAAGCATCCATCCACTGTCCACCAAGTTCCCTAGTGCGTATATTTCCATTTCTCACATTTGCATATCGTTCCATCTTTATTTTTATCATGGACCCTTACTTACATATATCTTTACATACCTTACTCGGTAGCGCTTCGGCTCCGCATGACAGCGCTTAGGCGCCATACTTAAGCGCCAACAGTACATACTTACTCACTTACTCTCCCACCAGAACGACAGAGGACTTACTGGTTACTACCCACTATTCACCTAGCAGAACATAGTAGAAATCTATTTGTTTACACCTCGCATCTCTCTTCTCTTGTCTTACATCATATCATCACTTAAGCAAACTCACTCTTACTCTCTCTCATATCTGTATACACGCGCACGCTTTCCCGCGCTTCGCGCCATACACGCGCGCATTCCCGCGCCTTGCGCGCACCTGCGCTTTCTCGCGCTTCGCATTGGCCAACCAGTAGCGCTTTCAGCACATACCTCTAGATCCTTGCTGCACTCGCTTCCCCTTTAGGGTCGAACGCACTTGTCGTCTCAAGTATAGCAGACTAGGCAACGCGCGACCTTACAACAATTATAGATACAGTCAGGAGCATTGTTCGTGCCTCGCTGTATCGTTGAACCTTCAGCGCTTATGTGCGGTTATATGAGAGAATGAGAGAAAATGATCGCCGGCCAAAACCTGGGGTAAAACGGAGAGTATGTACTATAGCAGTATGTTTTTGCAGTATTCTTGTTATTTGATGTTTTTGGTATTTTTGGTTTTATCGATGTGGGAGCGGTGATTTACATGTAGAGTGTCGGGTGGTATGCGGGAAGGGGTGTATACGCTTAATCATCTTGTGCGTGTTCTGGTTTATCTTCATCTGGTTCCTCAATGTCCTCGTCGGCTAGCCGATCTAGCGCTTCATCATCTTTTCCGGTAACACTCATTACCATAACACGCTCACCGTTACGCGGGTGATAGGGGATTACGCGGAACACTGCGTAGTGTAAGAGCGATATAGTGCCGTCCAACTCGGCCAGGATATATGAGCCTCCCTTCGTGCGGCGCACTACGATCATAGGTCCCAAGTACCGCGGCTTTGTCTTTTTGCTCAACTTGTACTCGACCTTGGAATTGCGCACCAACACTAAAGTGCCGGGCGCATGGTCATAGTTGTGGATGGTATTTTCTTAGCTTCACTCACTACAATACCCTACACTTGCATGCATCGCATGAGACTACTTACCTATTCAAGATAGCACTGTTTCATCTAAACAAGCATTCTCAAGTGGAGGAATCACTTTGACTGTGCGACAGAATGCACTTGCAACCCCCACATTCAGTGCATTGCAACTGTTGAAGGGAGCATATAGTAATGGGCACCTTTCTGCTGTAGCAGAGGCTGAGGGATATGCAGCTTCATTGGATATGTGGTATGTAGCTATCAGTACAAGTACTTCAACTGTTTTTTTTTGCTAGCTATGAAAAACTTTGGGTCCGGTGTGCATTTGAACCAAAAAAAAACCTGACCACTGCGAACCATTCACAAAGGTTTGGTCCAAGGTTCATTGATAAAGGTAGAATCGGACCAAGGTCCAGTTCTTGGTTCTTGTCAAACTGCCTCTGAACCAGACTGCGGCAGCACTAGATGTGCTCATGGATCACATTCAGTTGTATTAGTATGATACATTTTGTCATTGCACTCGCACATGCATTCATTTGAACATAGTATTAATAGCCACTGTATTGCTTCAATTACTTTTTTACACATTATATTCCATACAATGTGCCAATGACATGTCTACCATCTGGTGAAATTTTCAATCATGACATATTTCCTTAATAAGGATGTTACCCTCATGTGAAGTCACTATCACAGTGGTGGTGGTGGGTCACCAAACTAGTGTCTGGAACTAACTAGATGCATGCCTAGCCCATAGTAATTGATGCATTCAGGGACTTATGTTTCTCACCTGTTGGGAGCCAATGGTCTTCAGAATGCTAACAGGGCACTACACACTCGCAGTGAGAAATTTTTGAACTTTATGTTGGCTAATTGAAGTGACAGTGAGATGTTGTTTATATGTGCTTGACATCAAGGTGTTCATACTAGTATGTAGACTATCTATTGTCTATTGAACATCTCCCTTCCAAATTCAACTCTTTGAGTTACATGCCAGTGTGCAGTGGCTCTGGCCAGCTTTCCCTTATAGCTTTTCCATTTGAAAACACGTGACATGTTCCTAATGTCTGCAATCAAGTATTTCTTTAAGGTCCTTCAGAAGATCTCAGGTGCATGTTCACTAGGAAGTTCATATAGCCGACCTTTGATGTATTGAACCCTGACATTCTCAAGGTATATGCTTAAAGGGTTCTCTATGAGAAGTACCTACTAATGGAGAAACTCTTGGCTAGGTGTATAATGAGGAACATGGCCCTGAGGAAGTGAAGGGCATCTGTTGGAAAGTACACTACCTGCCAGTGTTTGTAAATTATGGTCTCCTGAGTTGTGATCTTATTCTAGATTTTTGATCTTCCATCATTTCTGAAGGGAACAACATGTTGGGCTTGTGTCCACCTGTTTTGTTTTGGGATTCAAATTCATGCTTATTTGAGATTCACTCAGGCTGTTATTCCCCTTTAATCCATTTGAAATAGACTGTTGATGGTCATTTATACAAGGCCCCTTAAACATTTTTGACAGTTAAACCAAATGGATGTAAGCTAAAAACTGCTAACTTGAATGTTTTCTATCAGATCTGAGTGCGGCCCTTCATTACCAGATATTTGAGCAGATTTTACAGAGACTGCAGCACCATCACAGTTGCATGTCTTAGCTTGATACATTAAGATCAAGCGACTTGAGGATTTTTTTCACTTAGTAATTAGCCAATACTCAAGTAGTACACATGCATCATGGTGTAGTGATAGTCTCCCTTCTAAATAGAAAGATGATGATCTTTCTGTGCAGATGCTATTGTGCTATACATGTCTTTCTCATTGTGTGACTTCAATGTTGTGCATACTGTGATAAGCATTCCTCACACTGGCTCACCTCCTACTAGTAGCACAACTCAGTATGATACAAGTTTTACTGATACTCCATGCTCAAGGAAGATCTAAACTTAGGAAGAGTTGAATCTGTACTATGTGCATTGTTTCTCAAGAATGACTCACTGGCACACACTGGCATGTGCATCAGAAAACAACTAGGACAGTTGAGTTATCATTTTCTTGCATACACATTATTATCTACTGAGGTAATTATTCACTAGATTTAATACATAAAGCTTGAGCAGCTCTCTATTGAATGAATAATACACTGTATTGGGATGGATTCAACATGTACTCAATATCAATTTATGGGTTCTTTGAGGGTGGTCTCTCAATTGCACTCAATATTGTTATTCTAAGACATTTCATCACCCAAACAAGTAGACAGATCTGGATGTGCAGCTGAGTTAATATCTTTAGTCTTACATACAGCATAGCCCATGCTGGCAAGTTAATATGTAATATGGCTAACATTGCGGCCACTATGGCAAGTTTAAATATTTCTATTGAATAGTTGCAGTGAAATCTGGAGTTCTACAACTTGACAGTCTGACTTGAAGGACAGTTCAAGTCGTCAGAAATGTTACCCAGTATATTAATTCTGAGCATTGACATTACCATACTGACTAGTATTAAACCATCATAGAAAAACCCTCCCTAATGGCCTCCTATGACATTGTGACATGGAGTCTGTGGGATTGCTAAAGTCAGTAGACATTCAATCATGATATTTTAGTAGCAGGGAATCTCATGGAAGGTGCATTATCATCCAATAGGTTATCATTCCTATTCTATGTGCCCATTATTAAGGGAGACTTGCAAGAGGTAGAGAATTCCCACCATATCGAGCTTGAACCACTACCACCACCACCACCTTCTACAATAGCAGTTGTATTATCCTTGGGACTATCAGAACCAGATTACAAGTTAGTGAGGGCAGTGAAACTCTATCCATTTGATGTTCCGCCCTATGTTGCACAGCATTGGAACTTGACACACTACTACACATGGTTGGATTGCATACAATTTGAGTCTGATAAAGATATACAAATCTAGTACTATAGTATTTGTGTAACGAGCCATCATTATGTATACCTGATTCAAGGATGCCAGTACAAAAGCTCCTAATGATACTGAGGTCAACTAAGGTTGCACGGAGCCTTCTCAGATTTTTCAAACTCCGCTATCCACTTCTATATTTGGGATATA